CTAAACGAATGATGTACGAGTATTAGACACGAAAAGCACAAACGACAGAACAAACACGACAGCACTGCCTTGCTAGCTCCTGTCCCTACTTCTCTCTCGAGCCTCGGCCTCCTCTCGGCTGACTAGATCGACCGGATTAAGAGCGGCACGTCTCGCCACAGTGACTGGAGCCGGCCCGCGGTATTGTAACAATGAAGGATATATTTCGCCTGCAAGGTTGAGATTGTCTAACCGCGTCATGGGCGGGAGTCCTGACCTGTTGGATTTTACATTCAGACCGAAAAAAAATGAAGTGTTGTGTTCTCTTCAATTTCTCCCCTCCTCTGGCTATGCCAGAGGTGCAGGTTTTATACATATGAGTGGTGGCGAGCTGTGTGGCAATTTTGGCTCACATCAGCTGAATAATCTAGTATTTATCATCCACTAGAAGATTCCATATGGTGAATTCAACATGACCCTGGTTGGCGTGGGATAGGGTGTTTCTGTGCATATCTGCGAGACTGGCCGCCCACCATGATGCTGGTGGGAGAGAGACGGATATGGTTAGATGGTGGTTGGACTGTGGGTTGGAGAGAGAGAGAGAGAGGGAAACTGTACCTTGAAAAAGCTTGTTGCTTGAGGAAGACTGTTGGTTGTTCCTTGGGGAGGGGGCGGGCTCTCTTATACACAGTCACAGGCATCACACAGTACGCGTTCTATGTGGTCTTGTTATGCCTGAACTCTGGGCTACGGCGGCGGTGGGCAAATAGGGACAAGGACAAGCCGTCGAACGCGCGAGGCCTTGAATTCGTCACAGTCCACGAGGGATAAATGAGGGGGGCGGACATGGTTTAGCCACGGCGGGAGGTGGAGGTGAAGGTGGAGGGGCGGCAAAGCTCAGTCATTCATTTCGTACTTGTTACTTACTGGTATTATATTTGCTGCTTAGAATGTAGTGCTTTAATTTATTGCTTAGAATGCAGTGCCTTCGCTTCATTATCAGCCACGTACAATGCTCCCCTGCGTAGTGCTCGTTGTGATGTTTGATTCTCCATCAACCAGCAAATTCTGTGTAGAGCTCTCCAAAGCCCGCCAGGTCGAGCAGTGACTGTTAACGGCCTCCACCCACAAACCATGGCTAGTCAGAACGGACACGAGCCCGTTCGAGGCCTTGCATGGCTACAACCCCCGTATGATGATTACATGCCTCGGCACAACTGAAGGTGCAACGAGTTCACGAGCGGCTGGACTCGCACAAGAAGCACCACGACGCCCGGCACCAGTCGGAGCAGGAGAGACTCTGGGGTCTCAACACAAAACTTGGGGTTCTGTGCGAGGGGGATGTTCGGAAAAACAAGGCCATGTTTTCCAGCATTCCCACCGCAAGTCGGAAGTCCAATGGCAAGAGTTGAAGTCAGCCACCTTTCCCTCGAGCGAAGCGAGGACAGTCCGCGGCAGGCGCCGCCGGAGGCAAAAAGAAGAAAACAAAGGAAAAAAGAGGCTCCGTTCAGCTGATCCTTCCCGACTTGCCGAGGTCAGGTACTCGACGCACCAACCCGCGAGCAAAGGATCATCTAAATCCCACGGTTCCAAGGGATTTATGTCTTTGCTAACTATTTACCAAGCATGACGAGCACGGCATCGAGACAGGCCAGGGCGGGGCAGGGCAGGGCGGGTGATGGTGGGAGTGGGAGGGTATGGTAATGGTTAGCCCCGTTTAGTTAGTAGAGTATCCGTAGTGATTACGGTGTAATTGAGTGCGCTTACACGACCTGTCCTGCATGTGCAGAGCCTCCCGAGTCCCCGGGAAGCGTCCCATCAACAACCCCATGAAAGGTCCTGAGGCGCATTGCGAGGTGGTCTGACAAGACAAGACGCCCCTTTCGACTCGGTAAACACGATGCCTGGAGAAAATCACCAGCAGGCTTGACAGGGGAAACTCGGTGGACTTGGAACCGGGACTTTGGAGAAGCATTTCTGTTCAAATGATCCATCTATATGAGGCCCCCTCTCCTGATAATCTGAGGGCGCGCCTGGTCTGTAGCTAACTAAACGAAAGCAGATGCAAGCAACAAATACCAAAGCACTGCCTTTCAAAAGCTCGAAAGCACACCTCTTGCAAAAACACAGAAGCCTGCCTTGCCAAACACGAACGCCCTGCCTTGCCAATCACAAACGCCCTGCCTTGCCAAACACGAATGCCCGTCCCAAACTCGAAAGCCTGCCTTGCCAAACTCGAAAGCCTGCCTTGCCAAACACGAACGCCCTGCCTTGCCAAACACGAATGCCCCTCCCAAACTCGAACGCCCGCCTTGCCAAACACGAACGCCCGCCTTGCCAAACACGAACGCCCTGCCTTGTCAAACTCGAAAGTCTGCCTTGCCAAACTCAAAAGCCTGCCTTGCCAAACACAAAAGCACCGCATGACAACCCGATGACAACCCGCCAAAGACATCACATGGTGGGTGGTCCTAGCCCTCCTCCTCCTGACACTCGCAGTGCACGCAGTGGTGCATGCGGCTGTTGGGGGCTGGGCGATTGGCGGCGGGCTGCTCGGGCTCTTCCAAGCGTGCGACCTTGTGCGCCCTTTGGTCGTCGCCCCCGTCGGCCGGCGCGGCTCGCTTCATGGGTGCAGCCTGCGGCTCGGGCTCGGGCTCCGCACTCCGCAACAGTTTCTTGAACCCTGGGAGTATCCCGCACGGCGAGACCAGTGGGAGCGGCAGCAGCACAGGGGTTGGGTTCAAGTTCAGCTCGGGTAGTTGCAGCATCGGTAGAGTCCTATAGTCGTGGAGGCGGTATTCGCCCAAGGATGGGATTGTCGGGCGCAATATCGGGGGTCGGAATGCCAGAGATGGCATTGGTGTACATGGTGTGGTCCACCCCCAGCGAGGCAACCTCATGTCATCCTCCGCACCACCCCATTGGTGAATGGATGGTATTCTTGGAGGGAATCCCTCGGGGGCCGAGCGTTTGGTGTTTTGGAAAGCCAGGCGGGCTACGGGCGAGATCTCCGATCCTGTGGAGTAGCCAGCAGACCGGTGGACCATGTTGTGAAGCTTGGCGTGTAGAAGACTTGATGGCAGGACTGACGGTAGTATGAGAGGTAAACAAATGAGGAGGGAGAGAGAGAGGGAGAGGGGGGGCGGGCTCTCCTTATACACAATGTCACACAAACATTGGGGGACAAACATTGAAGGGGTTTCGCCTTGTTTGCGGCCTAGGACAACCGAGTCCTGGCTCAAAATTGGCAAGCCTTGGCCCTAGTACGGCGCCAACGTGCTGATGCGGCACCCGTCGTTGGGCGGACGGCACGGCCACTGCCGCTGCCACGGCGGAAAGGCGGGCTTGTCACTGACGCTACCTGTCACAAAAGTCTCGGCGCTGGTGAAGCCTAATTCGTTAGCCTAGAGAGCCGACAGACCTAGAGAGCGAAGAGGCTGGGGAACGGACTAGCGACGGCCTGGACGGCGGAGAGGCGCACTGGATGTATTCTGAGCTGCATGTGTTCTGGATTTGTTTTGACTTGTAGGCAACGAAGAAACTTGCAGGCAACGGATGCGTTGCCGCATGACCCGAAAAGGGTCGATCGAGGTGACGCAAAAGGCTAATCGACAGCGAGCGCCTGCAGGTGCGCATGATTGAGACAACTCGACGGCTAGACTAGACGAACAGTCGTATAAGTCTAATTCGTTAGCCTGATGTTGCAGGGCCGAGAGATGGAAGACGGACAGTTTCGCCCCGCTAAGAAACGGGCTTGCACCAGTCGATGGCTGGACGAAACAGTCGTGAAAGCCTGTCAATTCTTGCGTACCCGCGGGCACTCGCAGTGATGGGCCAGACCGGAAGGGCAGTCGTGAAAGCATAGTTTGTTAGGCCTGATTGCGGGACGAGATGAACAGTTCGCCCCCGCCGAGAAACAGGCCTGCACCTCTCAATTCCTGCGCACCCGCGGGCACTGCGCAAGTCGCTGGGACGAAACTGTCATGAAAGTCTAATTCCTTAGCGCTACGCCGCAAGATGGACAGTTTCGCCCCCGCCAAGAAACGGGCCTGCACCAGTCGATGGCTAGACTGAACCGCTTGCCAAGACGCGCAATCATCCCTCCACCCTTGAGAAAGCGCAGAAAAAACGAAAAGGGAAAGAATGCACTGAAAAGCAAGAGAAAGAACCTAATCCGTCAGCCCTGATGTTAGACAGAGATGCAAGACGGACAGTTTCCCCCAAACGGCAGGCCTGCACCACGTCGATGCATGGCTAGACCGGACGAAGCAGTCGTGAAAGAGATGGACAGTTTCGCCCCCACCAAGAAAAAGGCCTGCACCAACTAGACTGGACGAACCAGTCGTGTAATTCGTTAGCCCTGATTGCGGGACAGTTTCCCCCCGGCAAGAAACAGTCGTGAAAGTCTAATTCGTTAGCCCTGGTGTTGCGTCAGTTCCCCCCCCCGGCAAGAAACAGGCCTGCGCCAGTCAATGGCTGGACTGGGCGAAACAGCCGTTAAAGTCTAATTCGTGAGCCCCGATGCAAGATGGTGGAGAGATGCAAGATGGTGGAGAGATGCAAGATGGTGGAGAGATGCAAGATGGGCAGTTCCCCCCGCTGAGAAACGGGCCTGCACCATGGACAGTTCCCACGCTGAGAAACGGGCCTATACCATGGACAGTTCCCCCGCCGAGAAACGGCAGGCCTGCAAACAGTCTGCGCGCTGGTGAAGGCCTAATCCGTCAGCCCTGATGCTGCGCGGACGGAGATGGGCAGTTTCTCCCGCCAAGAAATAGCGCCCCGCACCAGATCGATGGCTGGATTGCACTTGATGCATCGAAGCTAACCGTGTCGCTGGATTAGTCTGCAACCACCCCGCATTTCGTTCTGCCCGTGAGGGGCAGGGGCAGGGGCAGCCTTCAGCCGCAGGTCACTCTGCATCACGCCGCATTTCTCTCACCCCGCGATGTCACTCTGCACAGGTGCAGCCGCCCCTGATCACGTGTTCAACAAATGACATACATCGAAGGAAAAACCACGTCGGAATTTGAAGCTCATCGCAGCTAGCCGTGTCGCCAGATCACGTAGTCGCCAAACGACACTGCATACGTGCGTGCAATCGATCCTCCAACAGACAATGCGGGCGGCTCGGCCTCCATGTTGTGTGTACTGTGCGCGAACAGAAGTATGCCCTGATTGGCAAGGACGGCCAGCGAAACAAAATAGCACTTGCTACATGCACACACTTGATCTTGGACAGGCGAACAAGTGCAGGGTAATGTCGCCAAGACAGGGCCAACGGAGTGCGTCCTGATTGGCTGCACCGGATTTAGGCTGTGTCTGTACTGACCTCGGTGAGTCAACTCGACTTCAGACTTACGGTGGGAATGTGGTCAAAGTGGAAAATATGGCAGTTGGGAAGTCGGCAAGTGGAAAATACGGCGTTTTTTCTTTTCCGGTGCGCGGCCCGCCCTGCATGTGAACATGCAGTGTCAATTGTGGTGTTTTCGCTTCGCGGGTGCAGAGGTAGCAAGCAATGTGGTGCGCGCATGTGAACATGTCAGTGTCGACTGGGTGAGTTCGACCTTGCGCAAAAAAACCAAACCCCCCCAATAAAGTTTAGCCCTGTCCCTGTCCTGGTTGTCTCACCCGCCCCGCCCGCTCGGGAGCAGCCTCTGGCCCCCGTCGTTGCAACTTGTATCGTTATCGCCTGGGAGGCAGGCAACTAATCGGCTGTCTCGAATATTTTCCTCCCAGCTAGGCATGGCCATGACGGAGCGCCGCCCTCGCGCCTCGCCGCGTTCCAGTTCCTTCCGACTGCATCTTTTTCCAAGTTAGTTTCCTACTGCATCTTTCTCCAAGTTTTGGCTTCCTGCTTCCTCTCCGCTCCAAACACTCACACGTCTTTGGGTGCGCCATCTGCTGCTTCGCGATCCCATCAGTCTCTGCACTTCCAACGTCGTTAGCCGGGCGTTAAGGACGTAAGTGGCGGTCGGGTTTACGCTCGGGGGTTTGGGTGGGTCGCCGTGAGTGGTTTCCAACCAACATCGGTCGAGAGGTTGGTGCCAAGCCCGCATTTTGAGAGGTCAGAGCTGCTACGCGCAATTTCGAGGTGGCCGCGGCCGCGCAAGGCAGGCTGCAGGGCAGGCCCGCCAAGAGGCAGGGAGAGCCACCTACGCGACCAAACAAGCCTAGGCAAACCTCGACCTTCAACGTGCTAGTACGGGCGCGCGCGCGCGCGCCGTTGGACGCAGGCGCTGCATGTGAAAAGTGTCGATTGTGGTGGCCGTCCAAGGTCGAGGTTTGCCAAGCTTGTTTGGTCGCGCGGGGCAGATCAACGGCCCTGCAGGTCAACGGCCCCGCAGGCTTGGCGGAAGCTTCTCTCTCCGCCAAGACATGATGGGAGGCGCATAGTTGACGCTCTTCACATGCAGCGCCTGCACCCGCATCTCGACGTTTGACTCGCGCCGTCTAACGACGCGCATCCGCCCGTATCTCGACGGTTGACTCGCACCGTCCAACGACGCGCGTCCGCACCAGCACGTTAGTTACGGCTGAAAAGGTCAAGGTTTGCACCAGCACGTTTCGTCCAACCGTCCAAGGGCAACGTCCGTACTAGCACGTTGGCAGTGTACGTTGTCAGTGTGCGCATTGTCCTCTTGTAGCTGTCCCTGCGTCGTGTCGGTCTGATGGATATGACATGATGCCTTGTCCTTCCTTTTGGCAGTTGCTAGCGTCGCCATCTCCCTCTCTCTCCCTCTCTCTCTATAAGAGGGGGCCACCCCTTCCTCAATCTGCCCATCTCTCTCTCTCTCAACATTAGCCACCCCTTGTGTACAAGTTCTTGCATACTGCAGCACCTTGCCTGGTCTGCCAGCTACTTCTTCACCATCTCAACATTATCCCTCGAGTACGATAGGTTCCTGCACACTGCAGCACCAGCACCTTTCCTGGTCTGCCAGCTAACCACCTCTTCCCAGCTTCACTATACAATCATCAAGACGGCGCTTAATGGCTCCTCGCAATTGTTGTATAGAATCCTCCGCGTACGAGCGTACCGGCAGCGATTGGAGCAGCAGCTGCAGGACCCGGAGCAGCAGCCGCGGCAGCGGGCGCGACTACAAGGCTGCCGCCGACGTGCCGTGCAAAAGGAACGACAGCGGCAGCAGGAGCTGCAGGGGCTGTACGGAGCCTACATGCAGGAGGGCGACAGCACCTTTGTCCCCGAGCCGTGGTCTTAATTATGCTCGACCTGGCCCGCGAGAGCCAACATGCAGAGGGCCACCCCTAAAGCGGGCTGTCACATCCAACAAGGTCCACCAAGGTCCCCTCTACCACGCCTGCTAGTGGATTGTCTTCAAGCATTGTGTCCCTCTCGACCCGCCGGTGTGAGTAAAAAAGGGCGTCTTCTTGGACCGCCTCGCAATGCGCCTCGAGACTGGGCACCTGGGGAGCCACCGAAATTTAGGAGCGGGGAAAGAGTCTGGTCGTCCTATTTGAGACCCTCTAGTATCCATTCTTGGCATCAGCCTTCGAATAGCATAATGGGCGCCCAATGGTGAGGTCGTCAATGTCTGTCTCAATATCATGGCGTGGATATTCAGACTTGGTTATATCAACATCAATTGGCCTGCAGTCGTGTACAGTCTGAAGACTCCCGTCTGGCTTATTTGGGAAAAGGGACTGGGCTATGTATGGGCTCTCGCATCGGGAAATAATCGCGGCCAATTCCATTGCTGGGAATGCTTTTGCCGTATGGTCTTGCTAGGCCTGTGAGTACCTTATGGGTTGGTAGTAATAGTTGGACATGCGTCTGGCGAGGGTTGATAGGGTGGTCGACGACGTCTATCGCTACCAAGCCGTTCAAGAACTTGACGAAAATACCCTTCCAAGTATGTATAGTAAAGTCGCTTTGCCAACTCGACCTTCTCTTGCGTGTCCGCTAGATCCTTGAACTCAATCTCTTGGTGTTGCACATAAGCAGTCCAAATAGGTGCATTCAATTGATGAATTGTGGAAGGAAGGAAACAGTGCAAAAAGCCCCGCTTCCTGCAAAAAGCCCTGCTTCCTGTGGGAAAAAATGCTCCTTTCCAACATGCAAGTACTAGGCCTGTGTAGGCGTAGATCCTCGCTTAGAAAACATGTGGCCTAGTTAGGCCTAGATACGTAGCACTTGGGATTCCCACCGAGAATCCACCACAGTGAGGGGAATTAGGGCAAAATTTCGTTTCTGCGGGGCTTTTGGAATGGCAAATTGATCCTCCGTCTCCCGGTCCAAAGTCTCCTGGTTGTGCCCGCTCCCTGGAGTTGCTCTGATGGTGCCGACAGAAACGTCAGAGCGTACTAGTTTTTTGCCGCCGGATTCTTGAGCAAGCCGCCAAGGTGCAAAATGTTGGAAATGCCCTTGCGTCTGGTTTCGATGGTCTCGATCTCGTCCATGTTCTCCGAGCACTCCGAGTCTGCGTCCTCGTCAAGATTCGCCGTCTTCGGTATGGGGGTCCTGGAGAATGAGATGCGCCCGAGGGTGAAGAGAAACGACGTCCATGACTCCGTTTCTACCCTGAACTGTGGCCGTGCGCTTGGCCCAATATTGGAGAGCCCTCACTCGGAGGTAAACTATTTGGGAGAGGATCAAGTCGAACGCGGCTCTCTAACCGCACACGAATGCCGAGATGACCGTGAGAATTCCTCCTACCACGACATCGATGACAACCAAATCTGCGATCGTATCTCTTTGGTCGTTGGCGAGGGATACCGTCCATGGGGTGAGAAGTCGCTCTGGAGTGAGACCCAGACGCCTGACGAAAACCGGGCTGATACATTCAATGGTGGCTCCCTCATCCAGCATGATGTTCTTGGCCTCCATCCTATTGGTGGTGCCCGTGACATATCGCACCGAGATTCGGCCAATGTCGCTCATCCCCAATGCAACATCATTCAAGTCAGGAACTACCGCCTTGGATTTTCGCTTGGGGGTGGGTGGTAGTGTCCAGATGGCGCAATCACCTCAACGGGAGTCTCCAATTGCTTGCTCACACCGTCTGCACGATTCTAGAGATGGCCGAAAGAAATGAATGTCATGACAAATGCAAGAAGAGCTGGAACAATAGCTGGTCAATAATTATACCAGAATAAGGCCGCGGAGTCCCTAGCGTGCAGCGAACAGGTAAAGCGTCGTTCTCTGCTCGTCGAGGAACAGATGGCAGCCAACTGCCGTAGTCTATTCAATGGAGATGCCTCCAACTCCATAGAGGACACGGCCGTTGATGATGCTCACGTCAAAGGTCTCAGCTCCACTCTTTTCAAAGACTTTGATCGGTCACCGTGATGGGAAGCATATAGCCAAAACCCGCCGAGAAGCTGCCCCAAATGTCGTGATGCCAGGTCGAGGAGCGGCGCCATGGCGCTCCCGCCCGCACAGTCTCTTGGGCTGGCATCGTTCCTTGTGACCGCACCAGGCAATCATGGCAGTCTACTGGCGGCAACATCAATAGTTCAGCTAGCTAGGGCCACCATTTGCCACCACCGTCGCCACCATGCATCTGATCTCTTATTCTTTCGAATCTGACTTGCGAGTATCGTCTCTTCTTACAACTGCAGGCACCGCCAGTCTCGTCGGAATCGGGGCCGTCGATTTGTGGTTAAATTTAGGCTGCTGCAGCCAGGTTGCCTTGGCTCGTTCGGTTTCTTTATCTCGTAACAAAGCACAGCTCATCTCTCTCCCTCTCCCTCTCTCTCTCTCTCTCCCTCTCTCTCTCCCTCTCTCTCTCCCCCCCTCTACCTTTCACGACCGAACGGACGAGCGTTTGAGGTGGAGGGAATGAGACGGCTGTTCACGTGCTGCCGTTCTTTGTTGACCCCCTGGCCACTATCGTCAAGACACTGCGAGACATGGCACTGACCACTAGATCTTCTCAAACGTAGGCAACAGCTCTTTGGCCTTTCGCTTGCCGAATTCGCCCTTCGATGGACTATGCACTACAGGTAGACTGCTCGCTGCCATAGGATGGTGCTTTAGGTGCGTAGTGTGAGGCATCTGTCGACGCCGTGAAGCCGCCGTTCTTTATTGACCCCCTGGCCACTATCGTTAAAACACTGCGAAACATGGCACTGACCACTAGATCTTCTCCGATCTGGCCGGGCTGCAGCTCTCTGGTTCTTGCCCTCGCCAAACCGGCCGTCTGTGGGTCATGCCCTACAGGTAGACTCCTCACTGCCGTGGGCTGGGTGCTTCAGGTGCGCAGTGTGAGGCAGCTGTCGACGCCGTGAAGCCACTGTTCTTTGTTGACCCCCTGGCCACTATCGTCAAGACACTACGAGACATGGCACTGGCCACAAGATCTTTTCCGACGTGGTCGGGCAGCTCTCTAGTCTTTGACCTCGCCGAATCGGCCATCGGTGAGTCATGCCCTGACGGTAGCCGTCTCTGGCTGTCTGGCTCTGACAGGGTCGGAGATGGTGCAGACCTAGGTGTCTTGTCTAACATATAAACCGGATATAGCCATGCTCGAGATCGGAAATCCAACACAGCTTCGTCAAAAACACAGTCACCGAAAACACAGTCCATCAGAAACACAGCACACATCGCACCTCCATCCACTCTGACTTTGCTTTCGTTCTAAACCCTCCAAAGACTTTGCTCGTTGTCCTCAGTCTTCTGCATTGCTCTGCCTTGGCCGTCTGCACTACGTTCCTGCCTCCAATGCCTTCCAACAGCCAAGACACGTCTAGCACCGGCGGGGCCCCATCCGAATCGTCTTTTGTAGGAACCACTGAGCCCTTTCTAAGGTTGATGCTGACTCTGTTGCTTAGTACTCCTTCAATGGGGTTCCACACAACGGTACCTCAGGTGCCCAGTCCTGGATATACGCTGAAGAGGTCAGACGGCAGCAATCATTAATGGCATCACGAGAGCTCGTAAAAGAAAACCGAAGTCCAGGTATCCCTCTAACTTCTGGAACAGAGACAACGAGGTTACTCTGTCGACGCCTGGATCCACGGCACGAAATGGTAAGACTGTATGGGAGCACCAGCCGCTTATCCCTGGCCAAGACGAACCTTGGAGCGCAGGGTCACCGAGTATCGTGAGGAGCGTCTGGACATGCGGAGATCCAAGCAACTTCGACGTTATTCACCACGACCCGTTCAAGGGCTTTACAGTAAACGGGACACCCAAGTTCGCCAACTCTAGATACCACCCCGCTCTCCGGACGCAACCCAATCAGCAGCAGCAGCAGCCACAACAGGAGCCGCAGCTTCGGCACGGCGGAGACACAGAAGGGGGCAGGGGCAAGGACAGTAGCAGCGGGAGTAGTGGCTGTGTAGCTAGTTTGTCTCGGTTATGTTGGATTTCGGTGTTGAATTCAGTGTTGGAGCCAGTGTTAGATCTCTCTTTATTTCTCGTTTTATTCTCTTTTCTCAAAGTTCTGGCAAGTAGAGGAGCGATAGTGAACACTCCACAACGAGGATTTTTACCATTTAACTTCGTTCAAGGTGCTAATGGACAGAAGACTGCTGGTCGTAGAACAAAGAAGCCAGTATGTCATGTTGCCTCCAGCGCAGCAAGGAGTCCGCCGGAAGAGGGTAATGGTCTGCCCGTCCCAGCTTCAAAGAACAAAGAAGGCCGTTACCTTAATAACTCGTCTCCGTCATCTTTAACAACTCGTCCCCGTCATAATTCTTCCTCCCTTGGATTTGTTACATGACAACTATCCTATCTATTCCAGACTCCCTTCTATGCTTGTTACATCGGACTATCATCTCCCATTCTGGACAGAGGTTAGAAATGGACGCAGTTAACTTAGCCTCGGCAGAAGAGCAGGCTGTTACAGAGCAGAGTAAGAGAACAGCCCTAGCCGCGATTCCTTTCTCTGTTACTGCTGGGAAAACATGATGATGATGGTTTATGACATCCCGCCAAACCACCCGTGGCATGTCATCTTTGTTCGTACGATTCACATACTCCACGGGCTAGTCGGCGAGCCTGTATACTCGCAACCTGAGTTGGCAAAACACATTACGTGAGACGGGCTTGATCAGCTGCAGTACTACTTCTGGGACTTTCGGGCCAAAATGTGTACGAATCCCCTACCTCTCAGACTGACTTGGACAGCTTCTCTACCTTCTGGTAGATAGATGCTGACGTTTTTTTAAGGCCGAACTACACTAGAGATTCCGAGACCTACGACGAGGTGGGGACATGGAAGCGCTGGACTTCCTTGTTTGCGCAGATGCCTAGGGTCATCACCACCACCTACTATGTCATACGGTCCATCAATCCCATCGAATCGCCGACACCAGGCAATCCAATCGAGGCCGAGTGTGAGCTCTGGGCGGCTTGCGAGTGGCTCATCTACACGGCGTACACGGCGCTGGAGACGCTGCGACATCACGCCGTGCACAGGGAACTGCGGCAGCTGCCGATGGGTGAGCTGTGTCGCATGGCCTTGTCCGACCAGTTCAGCGTGGAGCGCTGGAACTGGTGGAAGCGCCGCCTCGCCGAGCTGGCCGCCCCCTCCAGCGTCGACGCCGAGACCAAGCGGCGCGTTGCCAAGGCGCTTGCGAGCATGGAGGCGGCCGAGGCCCTACCCAGTAAAGAAGAAGAAGAGCAGAAGGTAAAGGGGAAGGGGGGAGACGGAGGCCAAGGGGGGGGTGACAAGGCGGCAGCCGAGGCCGGACCTAGTAAAGAGGAAGAAGAGGAGAAAGGAAAGGGGAAGGGGGGAGACGGAGACAAGGGGGGGGTGGACAAGGCGGCGGCCGACGCCCGACCCACCAGTACAGTGGATGAAAAGGAGAAAGGAAAGGGGAAGGGGGGAGACGGAGACCAGGGAGGGTGGAACAAGTCGGGAGACGGAGACAAAGGGGGGAACGATAAGGTCGGGGGCGACAAGGATGGAGAAGCCGATGGAGGCGGCGAGGAGGACGAAGACGTCAAGGACGAAGACGTCAAGGACGAAGACGTCAAGGACGATGACGTCAAGGACGAGTAGGAGGATTCCCAGTGTACGACGTACATCTAATGACGGTTTGTTAACGTTAGCCATCTTCCTCAACGTCGGTGACGCTGAGACGTAAGATTCAAGCACGCTTTTCCGAGTTCCCAAGTCCTTCCTTGGCTTTGCCCATTCGACCCGACTTTGGCGCGACGGCCTATAGACAATGGCGGTCTGAGTGAGCCAGGCGTCTACGGCGAGAGAAGTAGAACGCTCGTCCCCGTGTCTCGGCTACAAAGACGTTCCAACCACAACCGCGTGAAGCTTGTATCCAGTAGTAATTGCCCTTTCATCTGACACGAGCAATAACATGTTCACTGTCTGCAATCTTCTCTGAAGCTCTTTTGTAGAACCATTTGCAGTGACAGTGACTGTACTATCCAATCCTTGCGGTCGACGAGCGAGAAGCGATGGGCAAGGTTGACTTGACAAGAGACCTGTATAGCGTACCAGTTGGCTAAATTGGTCATGGATTGTGTTGAGGCTGCTAAACCCTACCTCGATATGGGCTGGTGACTTCTGTCACGTTTGGCGAGGTCGATGAGAGGGTAGAATATCATGTATGATGTATTGTTTAGGGAAGAAAGAAGGGCGGAATTCCCTGCTGATGACAGTTAAATGCCTGCTTTCCAGCATGTAAGCACTAGGCCGTTGTTGGCGTAGATCAACACGCGTAAACGCGCCGTTCCAAAGTGGCCCTAGTACGTAACAACTTCTCCCAATGCAACCCTCCCGGCAGCTGCAGACGATCCGCCCGCTTCGCTAATTCTTGGGTCACCGACAGACAGCCTTCGCCGATGCGATACGCCTCTCCCCGACAACGCCTCCGGAAGATGCCGTTTCTGCCAAACGCGCGCCGGTCCGTCAGCCCCGCTCCCGTTTCCGACAGCATGCTTCGCCAATTCCAGACCCACGACGGCGCCTCAGCAAGGCTCAAGCCGATTCTAGACTTGACATCTTTGTTCCTGGCAGCTCGCACAACTTGCCATCTTTCGTCTTTTACTGACAGGTCGCTTCGCATCTCTTACTGACAGGTCGCGTCGCATCTTTGTCCCAAGTCCCCACGCCTAACGCACACCCACCACAGGCCAACGTATTCCCCTTAGATCTCCCAAGTGTCTTCAACCTCCAGCCCCAAAACCTACCCCTTTCTGATCCACCTCTCTCGTCGCTTTCTTTTCTCAGCACGCTCGGCTTTTTCTTCGTCTCGATGCTCCTCTCCCTCGCCGAATCTCGTCTCGCCTGCTCTCTGGCATCCACCGCTAGCTCGCCATGGCCGAACCCACCAGCAACGACGCCATCGCCGTGGCCCATAAAAAGAGCCATCTCTTGCGCTCACGGTCGACAACATCCTGGCCGAGCCTACACCAGAGGGACCGACCTCTTGTCTAGGGACCTCTTGTCCAGGGACCTCTTGTCTAGGAAACCAACGAACCCCTGCCTCTCCTTCTCGCCCAGGACATTAGTCCGTCCCTTCCTGGAACTGGTCAGCCGCTCCCGCTCCCTTGCTTTTTGCTACTTTGCCACCAAGTTCAGGGAACCGACGGGAACCTTGCCCAGGCCGTCTGCCAGGCGGCCTACAATGGTGCTGTCTTGGTTTATGCACGGAACCATGCCCTCGCGGGGGCTCGAGCTAAGGCGCTCGAGGGCACACGAGATCATGCTGCTGCTGCCGCCGCCCTTGTGGCTGCCATCGACAGGGCGGCCGGGGAGACCGCCGTCCTCACCTGTGCGACTGACGGCACCGTCGTCGAGGCGTTTGCTCACTACTTTGAGAGGGACAACACCACCAGTGCCACGTGGCCAACGAAAGCCTGCTTGCCTATCCCAACCGCGGCCGCGAGCTCCTCCGCAACGCCCAAGACTACGCGCGGCGTAAGTCGTACGAGCTCGCGGGTCTCCTGGGGGTTAACGTCGACTGGCCACCAAACTCTCAACTCCGTTCGATCCTCACCCTGGTTCCCGAACGCGAGAAGCAAAAATGACGGCTGGGCTACACTCATTGCGATGAAGCGGAGCGCGGAAGAGGAGAACCCCCATGAGAATCGCTCATCCGCTCATTGCAAACCCCATCAAGAGACAGATGGTACCTTGGTCGATGCGGTACCCCCAGTCCTACACCATCAAAGCTTTCAACGCTCGAGATGGCGCACTGCCCCGCAAACCTACTCGGTAGGTGTGTGGGCCGACGCAGGCGGAGGAAGCATGATGTGATGCTGCGGAGCGCGACAATTCGGCACTTCACTCTCAAAATCTTCCTCCGTGCTGCTGCTGGTTTAGCTCCCGCACTTTGGTGGGGTGTGGCTGATGGAACAAACCCCCGATCCGGCAGTCCGCCTTTCCGGAATACATCACGAGGCGCTTCATAGGCGTTCTTGTTACCCATCGCATTCTTCTTGCCAAGGATGCCTGCCCTCAGAGTTCACGACATGCACAATGAAGGGACCAACGAGCGCCATGCTCATGAACCTCAGTACATCACGACCTGGCTGTTGCTTTGGGTCCCTTCGCGGAGAAGATGACTTCCACGGGCTGGGAAAGAGGCTAGCGCTGATGGTAGCCGACAATCCTACGCAGACTATTCCTTTGACGGATAGAGGGAAACCCACTTCGGTGGCCGGGTAGCTTCTAAGACGTGTGTTCTAGGGGCCGTAACCAGTTTTGGCGTGGTCCGCTTCATAGCGCCTGTCGGCCTGATCGGTGCCCGTGTCCGCTCTTGGGTGCTCTTCGGCTTGCCAAGGTGCCCTATGTGGGACGGTGCACTTGGTTGGACCTAAGTGGTCTAGCTCTGGACCGAGTCTGACTTGCATAATGCATGCATATGCCGCCCGGCCGTCGAGCCCACTTCTTCATCAACCAGGTCTGTCCCGGGCCTCTGGAGTCGGCTGAAATTCGACGAGTGGAGAGGAAAGGGAAGAAAAGGAGTGTGGACATTGATGTACATGTAACAGCTCTGTTATTCTACTTCTTTTCTTCCCAGTTGGACAGTTCCGTTGCCGTGAATTACTACCAGCAACTCGTTCTAAGCACGAACCCTCGTCAACAGCAACTCCTCCCCATCTTTCAGGCTGGCAGCCTAACGCCTTTAGTTGGCGGCAATGGGCACTTGCTGCCGGTCCAACGTTGCCCGGGGAGCCGAGAGCCGGGCGCCAGAAATACAGTCACGACATGGGGTCACCTTGGCAAGCTCTCAGGCTTTTCCAAGGTTTCTGTTGCACACAAGCAGTCAAAATAGATGCATTCAATCGATGAATTGTGCAAGGAAGGAAGCAGTGCGAAAGGCCCTTCTTCCTGTAGGAAAAAATGCTCCTTTCTAACATGCAAGCACTAGGCCTGTGTCGACCGCGCCTCGCCTGGCAGTACAACGAAAGAGGCTTAGCGAATTGGCGGCTGGTGAAGGTAATAAGAGATTACTCCTAGACCAACTCGAGGCAAAAAGCATTGAACTCGCTACTGAGGTCTCTCAGCTAACTATAGAACAACTAGAAGTCCAAGAACAATACGGAAAAAAATAAGAATCGCCAACCTTGAAACCAAGATCAAATAGCTGATAGAGGAGACGAGGAAAAACTTTAGTTAACCGTCAGTGAGCTAAAACTACGAGAGGATATTAGCAAGCACACGCCACAGCTAGCCACAGCTGGAGCAACTCGGAACAGAGCTACGACGGCAGAAACTCGCAGTAGATGAGACAGAAGGAAGCCCACAGGTCCGCCGACTCGGCCTATGTCAGCTCGAAACGAGCCAGCCCCAAATCTATCCCAGCTCAAAAAGTTCCAGCTCAAAAAGAGCCAGCTCCAATTCTGGGCCAGCTCATCGTTGACACGGTCCGTTGAACCGACCAGACACGGTTGGCGCAGGCGTTGCTAAACTAGTTGTGCAACACCACACACTGGCTAAATGGCCCTCTTCTCATCACTCTGCAATGCCCGCATGGACTGCAGGGAACATGGCACGCAGTAAGAAACGCTACAGCTAGCTCGAACATTGCCACTAGGATACAAGCCGCCTTTTAGAAAGTTGGTCATTCTGTCACATCCTGCTCCTGTTCAAGGCCGTCGCATCGATACCGACAGGCAGACAGACTCAGATATGCACCAGACGCATGATGTGAGATTTTGGAAACGAGAGGCAGCCAACTCGACGTCCCTCGTTTCACACTTTGCAGTTACTACCGACATGCTGTTATGGAATATATTAACGCCTTGAGTCGGTACCTAAGTTAGGCTCTTGGTTTTCAACCTTCATTTCTGTAAGAGAAGGTAGGTACGCCTGATCAAGGTGGTCACAATGCAGGCAAGAAGGTAGGGGAGCAATGACTTGTATTGTTGTAAGACTTCAACCTGGCCCTCGCAAAGGAAGATGGGCGAGGGCCATTGTTTATATACCTGCTCAGGGGTTCGGCCCGGGCATCAGTCTGCGGTCGTGGCGCCACGGCGTAGCGTATGCCGGCTGGCAGTGTTCTAGCCAGTTGGTGACAAGTGGTGGGCGCGCACCCTGTGCGCGCAGTTGGTGTTTGGGGTGTCCTTTTCCTTACAATTTCCCACCCTCCCGGAGACTGGACCACGCCCTGTGACCCCGTTCCAGGTAGTTGTTTTGCCCGAGTCGACGAAGTAGCGACCTGTCTTGCTGAACTGTTTTCTAGTTTTCGAAGCTAATGCTTTATTCAAGAGCAACTCTCGCATGGTTCCAGAGGTTACTCCGATGGTCACCGCCGCCAAGTCTGAATCACAGAGCAGTTCAGCAGCCACGAGAGGCCGGAGCGGACATGATTTGGTTCTAAAGGGTATTAAACCCGTCTCTGTTGACACGGTCGCAAACAGTGGGTCCATCGTCACTAAAGTCATTGGCAAGCAGATGTTTGTTTACGAGAGAGCGTGCACGGGAGTGGAATTGGTTTCTGTTCGTAGTGATGGATGATTTGGATGGCTATACTCCAGCTGAAAGCCTGCAGGCTTTGTGCATTATAGGCATCTTGTACTAGATAGAGAATGTTGTATAGCCTCATACGTACATCTGTGAGGGAGTGTGCTACAATGGGTGACTGAATGCTACATAAAGGTTCTGCAATTGGTCCTTCATTAGTAGCCTGTTTCTCTAGGAATCATGCAGTACAAAGCGGCCCACGAGCTCATACTCAAGCATGGGGTACGTGTGTCAAAGCCACCGCTCTGGAATGCCTCGAGGCGTCCCTCATCCTGTGCTGTGGTATTGGAAGCTTGAATCACCGGAGTATGGGGAAGGAATAGACGCAGAACTGTCATCTTTTGAGAGTATTTCAATAGGAATATCTAGACACCCGTTTCGACCTCTACCTGTACAACCTCTCCCTCTATCCCAACTCGCCCTTCGCGCAAAGCCCAGCTATGTCGTGCAACCCACTCCCTCTCATTCTATCTCTTTCACAACATGCTACCACTTTCTTTCCGCAACCGAGTCCTGAGAGGACTCCTCGCAGCTCTTATTACCTCCTGATGCCTCTCTTTTCGAAAGAGGTTTGGAAACCATGGACGTGGTCGGCAAGATAACCCCCCGTAACAATCATCAAAAAGGCTAGCATCGCCTACACGGAAGCACAGCCAAGGCCGACTTGCCTAGCTCCTTCACTTAAACTTGGTGCGAGATTGACGAGCAGGCGGCCAGCCAGCTTTAAACTAAAAAGCTGGGGTAGTAAAAATGCACAATTCGTTCAGCGCCGTCGTCGAGATACACGCTGGGACAAGGGGCCGTTCCCCGTCACGAGAAAACCCCCACCTAGAGTCCACATTGCCCTCGATTGAAGGCCCACCAGGTCAAGGAGAGGCAGTAGTTTGGGGCCCCGAACACTAGTGTGTAGGTCAACTGTTCAAGTCCCTTACGCCTTACTTGTCTCACCTTACTTTTCTTTTGATACAAAGCTCAGCCGACCTGTCCCACCCTACTTAAGGCCTACATTTCTACTATTTAAATATAGCGCTATAGCGCCCCCTATGAACTGAAAATTTTAATAAACCTCGTCAAAAGTAATTAAACTTTAATATCTTTTTTTAATAAGAATAAAAGTACAAGTAAATCTCTATAGGTTCTAAACTAACTCTTAATTAGTTCTAATTACTAAACCAATCTAGCATTTACTCTAAACCGGTTTAGAATAAGTGTTGGAATGTGTTAAGTGTGAGGACCCGTCCACCAAACTGGCCCTCAAGCAGCCAGAGCCGCCCAGAACCCACGGGCCTATCAGAAGCCTCCTCGAGGCCCCACCTACCCCACTGATAGATGCAAGCTGGTTCGCGCGCACACGACGCGTTGTTGGACTTTTCTTTCTTTCCCTCCTTAGTTTAGAATCTTCGTCGATAGCACCCAATGGACTAAGTTCACCTCAATGCCTTGCCCTGGTCGTGACATTAAGCAGAAGGGCCTCAAAGGTTCTTGTCACGGCATAGCGCATTGCGGGTTCTTTATTAGGTCCCTTATTGCTAGCCATATGACATCAATTCTAGACTAAGCCCGAATAAGCTTAGTTTCCCCGCGCCACGTGCACCGAGCCCCGCGCCCACAAACCCTCAATCGCAGCCTTCGCGATTCTTTCCCTCTTTCCTTTCCTTTTGTCTTCTTTAGCTTAGTTTTACACTTAATCAATACGGTATTTTGTTGGCATAGTCTTTCATTTCTTATTATCCGTAACAGTTCTAGATAGAGACTTCGCCACCCACTTCGCCACCACAATAGTAGTATAAGAAGAGGCTTTCTGACACTGCCAGAAAGCTAGAGAGAAGAACACGCATCTACAATCCATCACTTGAACCACTAGCTTTTCGGCGTACAGTTACGCCCTGTTGATTCCAGTACCGGTACCCTGGTAAATCCAACAATAAGTTTAAGATTTGTGAGGACCCGTCCACCAAACTGGCCCTGAAGCAGCCAGAGCCGCCCAGAACCCACGGGCCTATCAGAAGCCTCCTCGAGGCCCCACCTACCCCACTGATAGATGCAAACTTATCCGCGA